TAAATGTTGGATGGCTTTGGATCTCTTTTCTACATCAGACAGATGCCAGCAAAATACAGTTTTTGAACACCTCATGCACAGATTATGTTTGTGAAATGGGAAACTGAGACCACCATTCAGAAGTCTTGTAGTCAATATTTACTGTATTTTATAATGAATTGCACCCCTTTTTAAAGACAGACATTCCACATAATGTACATGGGTAGGTGATGGGTGGGTGCTTGCTTGTTTGTTCACTAGCTACGAAGCATGTGTGCTTGCCAGAGAGAGTTCTATAAGAGAGAGAAGAATGGGAGAAAGTGTCCTACCCATGAGAATGGGCATGATGCAATTCCTTCTCTTTCATCTCTCACTCCTCTTGGGATTTTGGGCACACATACACAAGCATACAGTGTGATTTTCAAGCCTCTAGGTATAGGACTTGAACCACGTAGTCAGCTTTGAGAGATCCAACTCCCTTATCTACAAGGTTGTAGAGGGTTAATTTATTTTTTTAAAATATGTAAGCTCAGCATGTATTGTTGGAAAAGTCCTAAAGTATTTTTTCTATTATTTTAATGCAAAAACACATCATGACTTTTCTGACAACCCAATAATTTAAAAGACTGGAGGCAGACATAAGGGTAGGTATGTGATCAACCACCACCTCAAAATTTGACTGGGTGAGCCCCAGTGAATGTCTACCCTAATCACCAAGAAATAAGGTTAGTTAAGGTCACTGAGTACTGAAAATAGTTAAAGATGCTATGATTTTTTTTTCTCCACTGATTTTGTGAATTTTTTCTTTCACAAATGGAAAAGGAAGGATGGTGAAGATTCTTATGTCCTTTGAACTAATGGCAGAAGAGTTCTATATAAGGACTGCTAAGCTTCTTTGTTTACATTTGATACAAACTGAATCTGTAACCCTGGCCTAAAGTTTCAAGGAAAAAATCAGATATCAAGAAACAAAGAGTAAGCAGAACCAAAGACTCAAATCTGTTACTCCACCAGCTCCCATCAAAAGCTCTAGGTCAGTGATGAATAAAGCATCCAGTCCTAAATAAACAACAAACTAATTATGTCTGTGAGCAGCAGTATTATTATCCAAAGGTTATCTCTGACCACCACAGGAAAGCTAAAAAATTCAGAGATGGCTATAAAGATAAAATCTATTCAGGTTGTGCTGAATGCCTTCACACCGCTGCAACGAATAGTAAACAAAGTAAGAAATAAACCAGCAGAGTTAAGATATTCCATAATGGAAAGATCTGAGTTAACTTAATTGTTCATTTATGAAAATAATCATGGTCTGTGATTCCTTCACTTCTGATCTCTGTTATCAAACCCCCAGCTAGAGGCTCTATGAACTGCAAAAAGGTGAGCTGTTTTTTGGAGATGGAGAGTGCTTAGGAGAATATGTTTCCAAAGTGACACTCAGTATCTGTCTAACAGGGACCCTAAGACTCCAGGCTTAAAGACATGCATACCCAAAATCCAGAGTGGAGAATGGAGAGGGGACTGTGGCATGGCCATCCCCCTGGGGGAGTGATTTCTCACTTTCTCTCTCTCTACCTCTGGCAAGCACATGCACCCTCTAGGATAAAACCTAAAACAAAAAGTTGGGGGAAGGTTAGATTTCTTTGGTTGTAATCTCACATGGTAGCTGACTTGCACTGAAGGTCCCGATCGAAGATGGTGAGGTAAGCATGTAAAATGTATTTCCTAAAAGGTCAGAAACGTGTTCAGACTGGGGGGTCTTAGCTTCTGCTCCATCATTTACTTTTCTATTTTAATGAACATTTTATTTCCTGACCTATACAGAGGAGGTCACACATTTGGACATATTCTACCGATTTTCCCAAGTACCACTTACGGGTATTGACAAGCTGCAATTTTAACATGCTGAACGTGGGTGGCATATTTATAAAGTAAATAGATATAATTGCTTTAATAGTTATGAAAATAAAATGATTGTACATGTCACATTTTCTTTCACTCCAAATTGTCATGGTTAATTGTTATTCTGATAGTAATGTTTTATTTATTGAATTTTCTTAAAAATTAAATGTGATTTTGACTTTCTATAACAGGCTTGCTTTTTTTTTAGTTTTTCTTTTCCTTTCTTATCTTCTCCTCTTTTTTAAATTGTAATTTATGATTTACATATCATCTTTGTAGGGTTCAGTATGGGTTTTTCAAAGAATTATTTATTTTATATATTATTATTATTATTTAATTTGACCATAAAAAGACAGAGAGAGGGAGAGGAAAAGTGAGAAAACAAGCCACCAGGCCCAGGACTCTAAACTGCAGTTGGTCATACACGTTAACCACTATGGCATTTGCCTGGCCCCAGTATGGTCTTTAGGAGTATGTATACTATATGTAATAAATAATCTGAGGGTATATATGCATTACCTTCAACATTTAACATTACATTATTTTGTGAATATTTGAAGTCCACTCTACTGGTTATTTTGGAAATACAAAATGAATTGTCAGTGATGTTCTTTATTATGAAATACAGTTCTAAAGAAAAATGAAATGGTTAAAAATCAGACAACATAAAGTCTCATAAATTAATGAGGATAGATTTTTGAAAGCGAAGATAATCTTAACATAGTCAAAGAAAAATTAATTGGTAATTTCCAGATAGGGGATTATGGGAGATTAAAGTTTAAAATCTGAAAAGATCTGTGGTTGCAATCATTATTCCAGTTAGAGATAGATAAAATTGTACATTACAATAGCTCCTTCAGAAGAGACAGAGAAAGAAAATTGTTATTCATTCACTGTAAGTTCTTGTAATTCCACAGTACTATACATAAAAAATAAGTTCTCAAAAAAGCAAAAAATAAAAAAATTGGAAAGATATTTATAAGAGAAGAAACAGAAAAATCAGTGAGTTAGTGATTTATAGACTTTACAAAGTTCTTGATTTTAGTCATCTTTAAATTCATTACAAAGAAAGACTCAGCTACTTGTAACACTTTGGAATTTTTCTCTGTTATCTGGTTTTATACCATTAGTAATGATTATAATAATATATAAATGCAACATGAAACCTGGAGAGACAGTGTCTATCAAAATAACTGGTGAATTTGCACTTAAATTTGCTTGTGTGTAAAAAAAGTTAAATCTGAATTGTTAGCCTTGAATTCAGTTGGAAATTTCATTCTAACATTCAATGTTATCACTAATTTGTGTAGACGTATCCCTGACCTTTTACTACTCTTTTATTTTCCCCGTAATTGTTTTATATTCTCTTGCTTCTATTTATCTTTCTTGAGTTTTCCTGGTATAGTATTCTCTTAAGTACTCTCTGAAGAGCTGGTTTAGTTTTGATCAATTCTTTCAGCATTTGTTTATCTGGGAATGCTTTTATTGCTCCTTCCCATTTCAAAGATAATCTCCCTGGGTATAGTACTCTGGGCTGAAATTGTTTTTTCTTTCAGAGTTTTAAATATGTCTTCCTATTCTTTCCTTGCCTGCATTGTTTAAGTTGAGAAGGCTGATGTTAGTCTAACAGGGTAACCTTCGTATGTAACTTGGTGTTTCTCTCTTGCCATTTTTAGAATGTTATCTTTGTCTTTAATGTTTACCAATTTGGCAAAGATAGGCCTTGGAGAGGGTCTTCCTATGTTGTATCTTCTTGGTATCCTTTGTATTTTCTGCATTTGGATGTCTGTATGTTTCCAAATTTAGGAAGTTCCAACTAATATACCATGAAAGAGATTTATTTATTTATTTTTAGAGAGAGATTTTTGCTATAGGGTACATATGCTCAACAAAGAGACAGACACAGAGAGAGAGAGAGAGAGAGGGAGACAGCCAGAAGTCAGGTGGATGACTACACTGCAATGTTTTCTCCTCCATTCTCCTCTTAGGATTTTGTGCTGTTAGTGTTGTCCGGGGTGATTTTAAAGCCACTAGGTCAGGGACTTCAACCATGGTCAACCATGTGGGAGTCCAGCGCCTTAACCAATACACCACCTGCTAGCCCTTAGGGCAGTACTTTTTAAAAGACCCTTTCACCTATGAAACCTTTTAGGAAAAAAATGTAATGAAATAAAATAGTGGGTAGTCAAAAAAGCCATGATGCATTTTTGAATTAAAACACACACACACAAAATACATCATGACTTTTCTGATAACCCAATAGCTTAACTTTTGGAGTCATAAATATTTGTGTCTAGACCAGGACCAGCAGTTAGCATAATGGCTATGTCACTGGACTCCCATGTAATCGACCTCAGTTCGTGTCCTGGACCCAGTGGCTTAAAACTCACGCTGGGTCCGGGCGCGTGTGCGTGTGTGCCCAAGATCCCAAGAGGAGAATGGAGGAGAAGGGATTGCGGCGTGACCATCCCCCCTGGGGGGTGATTTCTCGCTTTCTGTCTCTATGTCTCTCTCTGTCTGTCTGGCGAGCGCACGCGCCCTACAGTGAAAATCTCTCCAAAAAAAAAAAAATTTTTTTTTAAAAAAAACTCACGCTGGGTGCGTGTGTGCCCAAGATCCCAAGAGGAGAATGGAGGAGAAGGGATTGCGGCATGGCCATCCCCCCCCTGGGGGGGGATGATTTCTTGCTTCCTGTCTTTCTGTCTCTCTCTGTCTTTCTGGCAAGCGCATGCACCCTATTGCAAAAACCTCTTCAAAAAAAAAAAATATTTGTGTCTAGACCATGACTCTGTGACCTTGGGCATGCTGGATGACCTCTACGAGGCTCTATGTGCTACTATGCAGTGGAAACAATGTCCTTGTTTCTCATATACACTGTTATGTAGATAGGCTTCAACATCACATGTTTGGTATTTTTTACAGAACTCTCCTCCCTCCTTGAGACTCACCTTCCAGAATAGTTCTTATACACTAAATTAAAAGGAATTGACAAAAAGAAGGTTAAAAAAAGAGATTACACATTTCAATTTCACTTGAGTAAACCATATTTGTCAATTTCCACATGACACCAACAGCTCAAAAGTCACAGTTCATTTCAGAAAGAACTGATGACAGCTCACCTGTGGCTGCTGTTCTGCTAGTCTGTTTTGATACTTTTGGACCGATGCTCTAAGTCGCTTCTCTTTCTCATTTTTTGATGGTGATACTGTGCTCATAGTGCCCAGAGGGATGGACGGTAGACGTTCCATCCGATGACAGCTTCACAACCAATAAGGACAGGATTAATACCAGCAGGAAACAGAAAACTATTTACTGTCTATAAAACATGATTTACTTACACAAGGAGTTACTCTTTACATCATAGACCCTAAATTCAAATAAAAAGGAAGAATACTGCACAGATGACTTTAGGTAATACATGACCTTCAATCTCCCATATGCATAGAAAAAAGCTTAATGAAAAACATGGAAGGTAGCATACATTTATGAGATAAGGCCTTTCAGAAAAAAACTTCCTTAGATCAGTGAGGCTTATCTCATTACTCTTTCCATTTTTTTACAAAAAAAAAATTCATTGTAGAAATCTATTTATTTCTCTATAAATTATATCAAATAATTCTACTCCCGCGGGGAAGTTGTGAAAGAAGATAGAAATGATGATTCTGTAAAAAGGTAAAAAATCTCAAATAGATTGAATGTGGTTTTTTTACATTCTGTTGCACAATATGTAGAATATAGTTAATAACAATATTGCATATTTGAAAATGGCTGAGAGAGTAAACTTCAAATATTCCCACCACAAAAAAATAGTAAGTATTTGAGGTGATGGATATGTTAGTTTAATTATTCCATGTTGTAATTATAAATCTTAACATCACTCTGTACTCCACAAATTTATACAATCATAAATTGTCAATTTACATTTTTAAAAGTAAACATAATAATAATAATTCTGCATCTCAAACACATGGATCCTATGTGTGACTCAGGATCACTATGAAGACCAGTGACTGTGTGATGTCATACAGTACTCAGGGATGGACACAGGAGCTACTAAGCCATGTACAGCCCCAAAGACCTGACTGTGCCATCCCTCCCAAGCAACCTGTTGTCATCAGAGTATTTGCTTTGGGGAGTCACCCTGTTCCCAGATGACAGATGTTAATGTTTCTTGTAGCTACTGGGTGAATACTTGTTTTATATTATCATGTAGAATTGTATGTAAATTACAAAAAACAGACCATGGAAGTGTACTTTCCTTGTCATGGTTAAAAAAAAAAATACTGATAACTTTTGAGACACGATTGAGAAAAACTGAGGCTCCCCCCGCTCCCTTACTTTTGGTTTTGTGGAGACACACTGGTGAGCTGAGTTAACTAAATTACTGAAAAAGTAAGATATGATTCTGTTCATCTTGGAGTCTTGGCCTGACATGGATAAAAAGTTCAACTCCCATGAAACACAGCTCTGATTCAGGGCATGCTGGGGAGGTGCTATGGGGGAGAAGGGAGGATGAGATAAGTTCTCTGAGCCTGTACTAGGTCAAGGAGTTTCCTACTGTTGATAGGTGTGGGAAAGTCCATTTGGCTATCAAAAAGAGGAGAAAGGGATAAAGTTTGCAGAAAATACATGTATTAGGCTAGGCGAGGGAGGAGGCTGAGAATAAAGAGGGCACTTTCTCCTGTCTGAAACAATGAGAGAAGTGAAGCTAACCCACTATTCCTAGGCTTTTCAGCACACACTTTTCTTGCCCCCTACCAACAGAGAAGAGTGAGGAGCTACAATCAAATTCAAATACTACTGTGAAAACCCACTTAATTCCACCCACATGTGGTGTTTGCTATTATTGTTATTTTCAAAGAAAGGTGCTAGATAAACAAATCCTGGGGACAACTGCTTACTATACATATAGCCACCCACAGTGTTGATTTGAAGACATCTGTGGGGTGGTACCTACATAGGTCTCTATTTATTTGAGAAAAGAAGCTTGTGGCAACATTCAGTTTCTATTTAGAAAAGAGAAACCTTAATTATTTTATTAAAACACAACCTATTCAATTGTCTTCATTTAAAGATTTTTGGAAATGAATATTAATAGGCAATACAACCCAAGCCATTTTTAAAAATCCTTGTCAGACCTCAGGGTTTTTTGTTTCAATCATAACAGGCATCATTTTTTACTGCTGGTGATCCTTATTTTCAATGTAGATAAATGCATAGCATGAATGTAATGGAAATGTACTGATACCTATTTCCTGGGTACTGTGACAAAAACGTACAGCCTCCCTCTGTGCTTGAAGTGGAAAACAAAAGGAGGCTTCAGCGAATTGAAAAAGTAGAGCCATTTTACCCTATCCAGGTTACGGACCCCAAATACTACCATCCAGGAAATGGTATATTTTGGTCATTAAAATGTATTGGTATGAAATCAGGCTTCCTAAAATGCAAAATGATGTCTTCTGAGAGAGCGCACGGTAAGGCAGAAAGATACAGGTTTTGCATCAGAAGCTTGGTTTCCAGTGATCTAGGGAGGGATGAATCTTGGACAAGTGACTGTACCTTTCTCAGACTCTGTTTTCTCCTCTGAGAAATAAGGAAGGTCCACTTTTTGGTAATGACAGAGTGAGACAGCACATATAATTACTAAGAGAAAGCTATTGTGTTTCTGGCCCATGTTTTCGTTACACAGACATTGTTCATTCAAAACCTGTTCATTGACATTAACACTGCAGACAGTTAGCAATAAAATGAGGACGATAAACTAGTTTCTATAAACGTAAATAATGCTACTTTTCACTTCATTGTTGGATTTTTCTACTCATAGAATGTTCCCTAATATCTATACTTCTTATCACCTTAATTCACGTTAAGTGATTCTATCCAAATGCAAGGGGTTTGTCTGACAATAATCTATGTCAAAGCATATTCTCAAGGAATCTGTGGCCTATCCTATCATATTGAAGCAGAAGATTAAGCTAGGTCATCAGAGTCACTTCTCTTCCCCCTTGGAATTATCAATTATTTTCTTTACATCTACCCTAAATGTCTTGCTGCCATTTCACGCATATTTTTGTCATAATCTTTTCAGTGGAAATGAAATATAAATGGTCAATATTATGTCAGTATATTTAAGGAATCAAGGACTTAAGAAAATTGTAAACATGAGAAGACTTTGCATTTTAGGATTCTAAGGTCCATCAGTTTTCAGTTAACACAGCTAAATTTATCCTGCCCCTCATTACAAATGACACTGTTTTGATGTGTAAAAACTGTATAATTAATGCAGCTTTGAAACTAATTTTACAATGATCTGTGATGGTATTACTACTTTTCAAGAGAAGGTTGACAGCATGCTAATTCAGGGTCAATGGCAAGTCGATGATACAGAAGCAGCAGGAGACAGCTCCCTAATTCTGCGGGTGTGATGATGCCCAAGACTGCTCTGAGAAATCACAGGTATATGGTTAGATCTGTGGGGACTGGCCTCCACTCTGGTGGCCTGTTATTAAGAGGTTTCCAGTGATCAGGGACTTTCAATGGATTCTGCTGACAAGAATTCAGCTGGAGCCAGAGAAGATACATCAATATACTATGATTATGCCCCATCCTAATGGATGGCAAGATGACTTAAAGAGAGATTATGGCACTGGTCCAAGATTTCACTGCTAGGAGAGCCAGGAGTCAAATCCAGGTGGTCTGGCTCTAAAGTCTGGACTGTGAACACCATCCGACACTGCACGGAAAGTTATTAGCTCACAGGAAGTGATTAATATTATTAATGAAACTAAACCAACACTTTGTTCCTCTCTGAGAGCTATTTAAGCCCCAAGGGATGGAATAAGGTTTAGAAATCAGAAGTTTCTGGCCACTAGCATCATAAACAGGCTTTTAGCCTTGATTTGTACTTTTATTCTCCCTTTTCTAAAATGAAGATGAGACTAGATCAGTGTTTAATCATGCTTTCTGGAGTTCTGGGATTTTGCAGAGAGTAGGAAACAAATGGAATATAGATACCTTTGGTCTTTAGGTTCCCAGCTTCCAATCCAAACAGGACAATTCTGCACTTACGGTATATATTTACATTTATTATATATATATATATATGCATTTATTTCTAATTCTTAATCATATATACACATACATAGCACATATATATACATATATATGTATAAAAATACATTTGTTTTACATATTTGGGTTCAGGGACAAATTTTATTTGGGGGATAAAAAGAGTTATATTCTAAAACAAGAAGGGGGAGATTGAAAAACCCGTAGGCCATGTGAAATCTAAGAGTCTTCATTTCTGACATTTCTCCCCAGTCTCTAGGTGGAAGGGATTTTACCAAGAGATTCTGAATGTTTTCCTCTTCTTTTTCTTTTTATATTGGCTTTTTAGGTTCTTTTTTTATGAGCTGGATAAAAATAATCAAACAGGAGTTATTACCCTAATGTCTATATTAGCAATACTGAAGCACTTATCTAGTCTGAAATATTTAGAACAGACTATATGAAAAAGCAATGCTTGACTTAGGGGTGCCTTTGTTAAAGGGGAGCACTAACTCTTTTTTCCCTAGGGAAGAATATTTATCTGAAAGGGCTTGATCTATACTTCTTATCACCTTAATTCACGTTAAGTGATTCTATCCAAATGCAAGGGGTTTGTCTGACAATAATCTATGTCAAAGCATATTCTCAAGGAATCTGTGGCCTATCCTATCATATTGAAGCAGAAGATTAAGCTAGGTCATCAGAGTCACTTCTCTTCCCCCTTGGAATTATCAATTATTTTCTTTACATCTACCCTAAATGTCTTGCTGCCATTTCACGCATATTTTTGTCATAATCTTTTCAGTGGAAATGAAATATAAATGGTCAATATTATGTCAGTATATTTAAGGAATCAAGGACTTAAGAAAATTGTAAACATGAGAAGACTTTGCATTTTAGGATTCTAAGGTCCATCAGTTTTCAGTTAACACAGCTAAATTTATCCTGCCCCTCATTACAAATGACACTGTTTTGATGTGTAAAAACTGTATAATTAATGCAGCTTTGAAACTAATTTTACAATGATCTGTGATGGTATTACTACTTTTCAAGAGAAGGTTGACAGCATGCTAATTCAGGGTCAATGGCAAGTCGATGATACAGAAGCAGCAGGAGACAGCTCCCTAATTCTGCGGGTGTGATGATGCCCAAGACTGCTCTGAGAAATCACAGGTATATGGTTAGATCTGTGGGGACTGGCCTCCACTCTGGTGGCCTGTTATTAAGAGGTTTCCAGTGATCAGGGACTTTCAATGGATTCTGCTGACAAGAATTCAGCTGGAGCCAGAGAAGATACATCAATATACTATGATTATGCCCCATCCTAATGGATGGCAAGATGACTTAAAGAGAGATTATGGCACTGGTCCAAGATTTCACTGCTAGGAGAGCCAGGAGTCAAATCCAGGTGGTCTGGCTCTAAAGTCTGGACTGTGAACACCATCCGACACTGCACGGAAAGTTATTAGCTCACAGGAAGTGATTAATATTATTAATGAAACTAAACCAACACTTTGTTCCTCTCTGAGAGCTATTTAAGCCCCAAGGGATGGAATAAGGTTTAGAAATCAGAAGTTTCTGGCCACTAGCATCATAAACAGGCTTTTAGCCTTGATTTGTACTTTTATTCTCCCTTTTCTAAAATGAAGATGAGACTAGATCAGTGTTTAATCATGCTTTCTGGAGTTCTGGGATTTTGCAGAGAGTAGGAAACAAATGGAATATAGATACCTTTGGTCTTTAGGTTCCCAGCTTCCAATCCAAACAGGACAATTCTGCACTTACGGTATATATTTACATTTATTATATATATATATATATGCATTTATTTCTAATTCTTAATCATATATACACACACATAGCACATATATATACATATATATGTATAAAAATACATTTGTTTTACATATTTGGGTTCAGAAACAAATTTTATTTGGGGGATAAAAAGAGTTATATTCTAAAACAAGAAGGGGGAGATTGAAAAACCCGTAGGCCATGTGAAATCTAAGAGTCTTCATTTCTGACATTTCTCCCCAGTCTCTAGGTGGAAGGGATTTTACCAAGAGATTCTGAATGTTTTCCTCTTCTTTTTCTTTTTATATTGGCTTTTTAGGTTCTTTTTTTATGAGCTGGATAAAAATAATCAAACAGGAGTTATTACCCTAATGTCTATATTAGCAATACTGAAGCACTTATCTAGTCTGAAATATTTAGAACAGACTATATGAAAAAGCAATGCTTGACTTAGGGGTGCCTTTGTTAAAGGGGAGCACTAACTCTTTTTTCCCTAGGGAAGAATATTTATCTGAAAGGGCTTGTAGTAACATTGATGTCCATCAATATTTAATCAGTCTTTTTCCTGTTTTAGTCTGAACTTCTTCCTCCAAGAGCATAAAGCAATGAAATCAATACACGACTTAAAAAGAAAAAGCACATGGTCTAACAGTTTAACGCCTCTGGAGATACTCTCTGAGTAGTGCTCCTGTACAATCAGGTTGTATGTTGAGTGAAAATGAACTGGAAGGCAGAACTCTGAAACACCGGGTCCTGGTTTCCTGCCACTGGAAGTACAGAGTTGCACATTCCAGTGTTTGCAAATAGTTACATCCAGATCTCTTTTACTTAATGGAAAAAGCACACTAATGAAATAATCTTTCCACAGGTAGTGAAAAACTAGAAAGAGTATGAAGAGATACCAACAACTAACCTAAAATCTACCTATCACTGATGTTTTCCGGTTTCATCCTAATGAACTTCAGGAATTAAAATTTAAATTTTTTAAAAAATCACCTATTTTCCAAGGGGTTAGGATGATTGGCACAAATCCAGACGTCAAGGAATTCTTTGTCTTGATAGTCAGTAGAGGAAGGCAAGACTCTCCATTTCAGGCAAAGATCTGATTGTCAAGACAAAAATCACACACAAAAGAGATCACAATCAGAAGCTATCACAGTAGAGTGTCCGTTTGCATATACCAAAAGTATGAGGTATGTCTCAATCCAGCGACCAATTAGTCCTTCATCATACACCATAGTGCTTGATAACATAACTACTCTAGGACTCTATAAGCCAGGATTTCAGGAGACCACCAAGAAATGAGTAATATTATTCCCTCCAGTTGGTTTGTGCTGTCAGTCAAAATAACCTTAATAGACTTCTCTCTACGTCTCCTTAAACCATATTAAAAATTCTAATACCATGACTCTCCCATTTCTCTGGCCTATTACCTGTCCACCTGCATCCCCTCATGGCACAGTGCTAATTGCTCTTAGGTAATACCTGTGTGTGGTCAGCTAAGGCAGAGGCAGCTGGCCCAGTGGCTATGGACCAGAGCAGCTCCTCCTCTCATTGCCACTATGATCTGGGACAAGTTATTTAACACTTCTGTGTTTCAGTATCATCATCTGCAAAAAGATTAATAATGCTAGTACTCATCTAAAAGGGTTATTGATAGAATGACATAATAACAACAGTGATGGGGTCAGTAAATGATGTGGTGGTTAAGGTACTGGACTCCCACATGGCGGATCACAGTTTGAGACCCAGACCTGGCAGCTTTCTATCTCACTTTCCCTCTCTCTCTCTTTTTCTCTGGTCAAATTAAAAATTAATTAATTATAATAAATTAATCTTTAAAATAACAATAATAATAGCAGTGATAATAGCCAACATTGCTAGGTACTATGAAAGGATTTTTTAAAGTTTATGGAATTAAAATAAGTTTATTTTGGTGCAAAAATTTCAAAATACATACTTTTTTTCAAAATAAACATTTCCATAAACTTTTTTTTTTATATTTCCATAAACTTTTTGAAGACCCCCTTGTATACTAAGAACTTAGTAAACTTTGCACTTCTTAATTAATACTATTCTTAGAACAATGCTATAATCTAGTTTTAAGCACAACTCTCCTTTTATAAATGAGAAAACTAGGCTTAGAGAGATTAAATAATCAGCCCAATTTTATAGCTCTCAGCACTGAGGATTGAGTTCTAATGGTACCTAATACACATTAACAAGCACATAATAACAGCTGGCCACTATTATTATCATCTGGTAGGTTGTCAATACCTTCTAAATGTCTGTCATGTGTGTTCCCCTTAAGTCTCACTGCTACACCTTAATTCAGACATGTATGATTCTTCACTGGATCTTAGATTACAACAGTAGTCTCCACAGAGACCTGACTCTTCCCTTGTTTTTTTTTTTTTTCCCCTCCCTTTATTAAATCATCTACCTTGTTTTTAGACCTCCACCAAATCATCCTTCACTGAACTGTCAAAGTAACATTAATAAAGTTAAATCTGACTGGTCAGGGCCCTTCTTCAAACACTCCTAGGCAAACAAAAATGTGGGGAGGTGCTCTCTTGGCATGGTCTGTCTGAATGCTTCTGTAGAGTTTTGCACACTACACAGTACTTTTTTGTTCACTTGTCTGTCTTCTTCACTGGACTGTTTGTTGTAGAATAGAGATTGTCTTTAATCCCATAACCATTGTATAGTAACCAGAAAACACTGATAAGTGCTCAGTGATCTAATGATACTATTAACCTATTGAAAAACTCCCAAATACCTTCCTATTGCTTAAAATAAAACTTATTCTGGTATTTTAGGCCCTCTATCATGTTTACCCAATCTAGTAATTTTGTATTTATTATTTATTCATTATTCACTCATTCATTTATCAATTACTAAATTCTTATATGTATTAGACACAATGTTACATATTAAAAATAGATGGGAGCTGGCAGGTGGTGTGGTGGTTAAGGCACTGGACTCCCACACGACAACTATGGTCCAAGTCCCAGACCTGGCAATTTGCTTTCTTGCTTTCTCTCTCTCTCTTGCTCTATATCTCTTTCTCTCTCTCTCATCAAATTATAAACTAATAATAATAAGTAAAATTAAAATTAAATACTTCTTTAAAAAAAGACAAACATAGGGACCAGGAGTTAGCATAATGGCTATGTCACTGGACTCCCATGTAGTCAACCACAGTTCGAGTCCCAGACCTGGGGTCTTAAACTCATGCCAGGCACTTGTGCATACATGCCTAAGATCCCAAGAGGAGAATGGAGGAGAAGGGATTGTAGTGTGGACATCCCCCCCTGGAGTGGGGGTGATTTCTTGCTTTCTGTCTGTCTGTCTCTGTCTTTCTCATGAGCACATGGGCCCTATAGCAAAAACCTGTCAAAAAAATTTTTTAAAAGACAAACAGAAAGATGGTTGTTTCTATTATTCTATCATAAACATTTTAGCTGAAATGTACACCTGATATTAATACATTTCCACTATGCTTCATCTCTATCAAAATTTTATTTTAAAGACTGTCACAAATGCTACCTGAGTCATAAAGTCTTGATTCCATTTCCCCCTCATTTTCTATGAACCCTCAAAGAACTCTTTGCCTCTATTAAAACACTACTTATTTTTCCCCCTCGATTACAATTATTTTCATGCTTACCTTAATCTCTCTCCCAGACTGTAACTTCTCTGCAAGCAAGACCCAGATCTTACTCACTTTTGGCTCTCTCATCCCCATTTCCTAACACAATGACTTGCATATTTAGGAACTTGTTAATGTTTGATATCAGAATGTAACTCAACACTCACCACACTGGATGATGAATGGGATGGCCATGGCTTGTCTTCTTTGATACTGAATAGAATCTAAAGATTTCTCCATGTCCTTGTTACTTTGTTGTCCAAATTCATTCCAGAACAACGTTAGGTTTCTATTACCTAAAAAATAAATAAATAAATAGGGGCCAGCAGGTGGTGTGGTGGTTAAAGGCACTGAAATCCCATATGCCTGACCACAGATTGAGAACAGGACCTGGCGGCATGCCTTCTCACATTCACTCACTCTCTCTCACTCTGTCCCTCTCCAGAAAAATTAAAATAAATAAATAAATAAAGCTGGACAAAATAATTCTTTAAAATAAATAAATAAATAAAAATTAAAAATAAAAAGCAGACACAGAATAATGAAAGAAAATAAAATAAACATCATGATCAAGATGACTAGCAAAGGAAAAACTGGATATAAACATATGTATATATAACACAATCTCAACTGGGTAAAGGCAAATACATATACAGAAATAAGAGATTAAAATATTAATATTGGGAGCCAGCAGGTGACGTGGTGCTTAGTTAAGGCGCTGGATTCCTACATGGTCAACTGTGGTTTGAGTTCTGGCCCCAGTGGCTTGAGAATCACACCAGGCACATGAGTGTCCATGCCAAAATCCTTAAAGGAGACTGAAGGAAAAGGGATTGTGGCATCACCATCGCCTCCCACCCACTTCCCTGGGGGGTGATTTCTCACCTTCCCTCTCTCTGGAGCACACACACCCTCAGTAAAAAACAAAAACAAAAACACACAAACAAAAAAAAAGTTAGGAGGAAGGTCAGGTTTCTTTGGTTACATAATCTCACATGGTAGCTGATTCATACTGAAGATCCCTACAAAAGTTGGTGAGATAAGGGGATAAAATTTATTTCCCAAGAGGCCAGGAACACACATAATAATAAGGTGTTCAAACTGGGGGTCTTAGTTCCTGCTCTATCATTTAGCTTGCTATTTTAATGAATATTTTATATCCTGACCTCTACAGAGGCCACACATTTAGATGTATGCTACTGATTTTCCCAAGTAGCATTTAAGGGTATTGACAAGCTACAATTTATATATAATTAATATATATATATATATAATTTCTTTATTGGGAAAATAAAACGATTGTACGTGCCGCATTTTCTTTCACTTGAAATTGTCACGGTTAACAATGTTTATTGATAATAATATTTTATTTATTGAATTTTCTTTAAAAATTAAATATAATTTTGCTCTATGAAAAAAATCTTTAAAAAATTTGGTTATCTCTGAGTAGTGATATTATGGGTGGCATGTGTTTTCTGCTTTATACTTTCTTGCATTTTTCAAATTATACACAATGAATATATGATACCTTTATAAAAAGACAATAGCAGTTATTTTAAAAGTTATACTTTCAGTATATGTTTCATGAAATATATTGGACATTTGAAGCCATGTTCTTAAGTATTTCCAGGAAGGACTATAATAATTAAACAGTAAAGACTACTCAGAGTTTCTCTACCTGTATTTTATCTTGGGAAGTTTTTATTTCCAGTCTTTACTGTTCATGCTCCACTCTTGTCCCAAATTCTGTACTCCCTTCTTGCTTGGAAATATCTCTTATCGTGGAGGACCATTGGAGAGTCCTCTCTAAGAGACTGAGTTCTTATCCTTTGATCCAACAATTGTACTTCCAGGAATCCTTATTTGCAGACAACGTATGTGGCCATATATATTACAGCGTTGTTTGAACAGCAAAAATGGTAAATGATGAAAAAGCCTATGAGTAGACAACTGATAAATTCTATTCCCATATAATGGAATACTGAACAACCTTTAAAAAGAGGGAGGTAGAGCTAAATGCAGGGTTGTATCAAGATCTCCAAGATATAGTTTAATTTAAAAAGATAAAACATAGCACCTCTAATAAGGCTTGGATTGTATTTAAAAATGCAAAAAATTATGATGAACAGATATTTGCTTTCCTGAATAGATGCAGGAGGAAGCTTTAATAGTGGATAACTTAAGAGAAGAGAGAGCAGTTGAGAGAAAAGGGAAAACACAGTTTCCACTTTTTACTTGTCTGAACACTAAATATTATGATATATGTATATAAAGAGAGTTCAAAAAGTTTGCAGAAAGCAGAATTAAAATAAGAGGTTTCTTTGGTGTCCAAATTTTCAAAGTCCATGCCTAGTTTTTTCACAATATCCTTTTTCCCTGGTATTTTTTGAAGACTTCCTTATATAATAAATGATTTACTATTTTATTCAATGTGCTGACCACTAACCCACAAGCTAATGTGGGCATAGTGCTCCTAAATGTAGTAGATACAGAACATTTTCATCAATGTAGAAATTTCAAAAAAATGAATTCTAAAATAGAAATGTTAAAGATAATGAAATAGGGCCAGTCCTACAATAGCCTTAACATACGGCTGTGTAAACCATGCATAATGCAAATAGATGACCTTCCACTTTACTATTTCTTTACTATTTCTGTCAGACTTTAAGCTCACCGTGTAACAGACCTTAACCACCAGCAGGGGAGAGACTCAGACTTCAAAAGGCTAGCTGGGGAGGGCTGAAAGGAAACCCCACAAATTCCTCAGTCTCCTGTTTTCTCTTCAGATTCTCCTTTGGACTGTTAAGTTTTCAGTTCAGATATTCAGTTGCTTCTGCTTGCCCAGTATTTGGTCTTGGTCCACCTCATGCTCCACTTCTCTGCACATCAGATCCTGAGGTACTACTACTCTTTGTGGTCAGAGAAGATACTTTAAAAACTCCATGGTGATATTTGATGGTGAAAAAAACTAGGCTGGTCTGAAGTGTATTTCATGTTGGGTAAATTCTCTCTACAAGCTAAATGATGTATAGCGATTGAATATATATGTATAAATAATAATAATAACACGTTTTTAAAAAGAACAGGAAGGAGATAGTGAATAAAAATACAAAATAATAAGAGTTTATTTTTATTGTTGAAGCTCCTCTAGGGTAGTGATTCTTAAGCTTGTTGAGATTACACATCCTTTTGAGATATGAGTCATAATCCACAAAACGAATTTGACTTAAAGCATAAAATTTAAATGCGTTCATGGACTCCCCTGCTTACCTGTGAAATCTACTCAGGTTAAGAATCTTTCTTCTGGGACCAGCAGTTGGCATAATGGCTATGTTGCTGGACTCCCATGTAGCTGACCATGGTTCAAGGCCTTGGACCCGGTGGCTTAAACTCACACCAGGCGTGTGTGTGCATGCCTGAGATTCCAAGAGAAGAATGGAGGAGAAGGGATTGCGGTGTGGCCATACCCCCCTGGGCGGTGATTTCTTGCTTTCTGTCTCTCTGTCTCTATCTGTCTTTCTGGCAAGTGCACGCACCCTATAGCAAATACCTCTCAAAAAAAAAAAAAAAAAAAAAAGAATCTTTCTTCTGTAACTGCTTAACCAAAATGTTTGTTTAATTATTGACTATAATATCTGACTCACCAAAATACTAAGTTTTGCATTAGAAGACAAATGATATAAATAATTTAATACAGAAAAAAAAAAGCCCTCAGGTTTTTCTCTAAGATCAGAAACAAGAAAAAGATGCCTGCTCTTATTGCTTCTGTTCAACACAGTACTAGAAATTCTAGACAAAGTGATTAGGCAAGAAAAAAAAAACACAAGGCACCCAAATTGGAAAAGAAATAAAATTATCTCCACTCACAGAAGATACTACCTTATATGCAGAATCCTAAATATCACACACACACACACACACGCACACGCACCCTGTAAGAACAAATTTAGCAAAGTACCAGAACACAAAGTCAACACTCAAAAATCAGTTGTACTTCCATACATTAACAACAAACACTCTGAAAAGAGAATTAAGAAGACAATTCTATTAATAGTAGTATCAAAAAGATTAAAATACTTAGAAATTAGCTTAACCAGAAGGTAAAGGGCTTAAAAACTACAAAAATATTTCTAGAAGAAATTAAAACATATGTATAATGAAAGGTATCTTATGTCCCTGGGTTAGAAGAATTAATATTAAGATGTCAACTACCCAAAGTAATCTACAGATTGAATGCAATCCTTGTGAATATTCCCATGACATTCTTTTTCAGTAGTAAAAAAGTCCATCCTAATTTTTACATGCAATTTAAAAGGACCAAACAATCCTGAAAAGAACAAAGCTTGATAATTTAAACATCCTGATTTCAAAATCTACTAAAACTATGCTAAACTAAACAGTATGGAACTGACGTACAGACATACCGACCAATGGATGGTGAATTCAGAAATAAGCACTCACACATGTGGTCAAATTATCTTAATAACCCGATCTTATGCAAAAGGCCAAGAAGTGATATGGTCAAATTCTTTGACAGGAGTGCCAAGAACATTCAATGGAAAAAAGAAAGCCTTTTCAACAAATGATGCTAGGAAAACTAGATATCCACATGCAAAACAATGAAGCTGAGTCCTTAACACCATACACAAAAATCAACTCAAAATGGATTCACAACATAAGATTAAAAACTGTAAACCTCTTAAAATAGTTCAAAAGCTTCACAACATTGAATTTGGCATTGATTTCTTGGATAAAATACCAAAGGCATAGTCAACACAAGGAAAAAAGAAAAAACAATAAACTGACTTTATTAAAATATTTTTAAAATTGTGCATTAAAAATACTATCTACAGAATAAAAAGGCAACTCATTGAGTAGGAGAAAATATTTGGAAATCATCTAACTGATAAAGGATTATATCCAGAATTTGTAGAGATGTCTAAAAAACTCAACAACAAAACAACCCAAATCAAAAAAAGAACAAAAGACTTGAGAGACTTCTCCAAAGAAGATATAAAAATGGCCAAAAAGCACATGAAAAGATGCTCAATATCACTGATCATTAAGGATAGTACTTCACATTAGGACTGCTACTGCCAAACAAAACAAAAACTCAGAAAACCACTAAGTGTTGGTGAGTATGTGGAGAATTGGGAATTGAAATTCCCGTGTCTGTTGATGGGAATGTAAAATGGTGCTCTGGAAAAATAAAATGGCCGTCCCTCAAAACATTAAAAATAGAATTACTACATGATCCAGTAATCCATTTCTGGGTATACACTCAAAAGAATTGAAA